TCCCTGGTCTAAATTTTGCTATTGCTGCACTGGAGATCAGAATATCCTACCTGGGTTTGTACACATCCCTTCCTCTTTGAATACTTATCACTCCAATTACCTGCATGGTTTAAAATGAACATTAAGTTGCTAATCATTACCAAGCCAGCTGGGATGGATGGATACTGAAACAAGAGATTGTAGTTGTTTATTTGCAAAGCTAAATTTGCTTTGTGTTATGTTAAAAACATTAACTCTTGGCTTGATTTCAAAACTGATGAGCATCCAAAATGCTGTTGAACTCAGTGTGTAATGCTTGTGAAATGTAGGTCTTGTGCAAAATGCAATGTATGATTTTATTCCAACTACATGTCAGCAGTTTCAAAGTAATTTGGAATTTTTACTGGTAACTTCGGAGTTTACTTTTCCTTTGTATACTTTTCGGTATGATGAGGTATCACCAAGGCTCTGAAGAGTCACTTGACCTGTAGGATGAGTCAGATTGTTTTCTTGGTCAGCCCTGTGGAACTCTGTCAACAGAGGCCATATGTAATTACCCACAGGCAGGATCTGAGCCCACGACGACATGGTGGGAGCATTCTCTTGCAAAGTTCTAGCAAAAGATCTATGAGAACATGTGTGTATGAGCAAGAGGTTATTGCCAGTACCAGGAGGGATGTGACTGTTCTCTTTAGGAAAATCCATGCCCTCTCCATCTTTCATTTGGAAAGGAACATAAATTGCCCAGAGACCTGCGTGGTGAGTTCTCCTGAGAACGATGACACTCCAAGGGGCATCGTGTTCACAGGGACAACTGGGAGCTTCCGCTCAGGCCTGTCACACTGCACTGTTTGGAACAGTCCCTCCCACTCCCCAATCTCACATACCCCAGCACCTGCACCCCCAGCTCCCCTGCTGCCCTGCTCTGCTGGCCCCTTTGGCATCACTGGGGAACAAATGTATTTGGTTTCCTCCTTCACCCACTGTGCACCAACCGCAGCCACACTCCTCACTTACAGGGGGTTGGTTTGCCACTTGGGTTTTTTCTTGGCTAAATCACTGCACTGACAGGGACACCTCAGTACAGCAGCAAAGTTGACCTTTTATCTTCCTGCTTTGACATTACTGCCATTACAGCCTCTGCTGAGAGTAAATGGCAAACAAAATGTGTATTCTGTCGCTCTATTAGGAATGGCGAGAAGAGCGACACAGACTCTCTCAGGAGTCAGTCAGGAGAATTTCTCTTAGTTTGTTACTTCAGGTCTTTTTTATAGACCGATACGTGGAAAGTACAGAAAATAAACTCTTATTGGCTAGTAAACTGACACATCACCATCATTGGTCAGTGGGGTACACTACCCCTCGACCTTCTCCTGCAAGGAAAACAAGGAACAGACAAACAGCACCTGCAAGGCTGTTTTCTGTCTCTGAGGATTGTTTTAAATCCTCCTCATGAATTCCCAGGCCACTTTCTCAGGCAAGACTGGAAAGCTATGTGGCCTGCAGTTTCACATGCTCCCTGTTTCAGAGTTAGCATCCACAGTATTCCAAGATTTTTCAAGTGCTCCCTTCTTCCCTTTGCCTTTTGGCACAATGCTATTGATAGCACCCAACCTGCCAGATCATTTAACTACCACAATACCACATAGCAAATGCATGACACACTATAGACTTTTTCTTCTCCCTACTGCATATCACAAAAGGTAGCACTAGGACTCAAACAAAAACAAATTACCTCAGTAACTCCTGGAAAACTCAAGTGGTTAATCAGTTACCTTTTATTTACATATATATGCTTAATGCTGAATTAAGTTGTAAAAACCAAAGGCTGATTTATAGCCCCAGTCAGCCTTAATTAACATTGATTCCAGGGGAATAGTAAATGTGAATAGCCTTCACAATTGAGATTGAACAATGAACTCACTGGGTGTTGTCCAATTTGTAGCATGATTTACATGGAAGCAAGCCCTTCTATTTCTAGGGTTACCCCTTATTTTATCTGGTGTTTAGGATGGGTTATATATAATCCATAGATAGGAACATTTGCTGTCAAATATTCTCCCTGATTTAGAGTTAGCCTTTACCATGGTCACTATAAATAAGGGAGAAAAAAACCCAATTTGAGGCTTTGCAGGGATTCCTTTTTCTTGCAATGTGTCATCGCTTCTCCATTTCATGGCATTTTTACGAAGTGGCCATAATGAAAGTCAGATTAAATGTACAGGATATATACATTTAATCAACAGCCATTGGAGTCAGTAGTGCTGGAAGAGTTATAAAAGTCCCTGTGAATGCAAATTTATTGCAAAAGAATCTGCGTCTCAGTGGTAGGAATATCTGCTGAATGGTACTACCTGACACAGAACACCTAAAACTTTCAAAAGTGAATTATTTAAGTGTAAGGCTTTGCTTGTAAAGCCGCCAGCTGCTGGATTTCAAGACTTGAAACTGGTCCAAAACATGGGACTAGGTACTTTATTTGTGCACTAGAGTAAATACTCTGATTTTACTGCCAATTTAAATGTGCTCAGTTTACAGTAATGAGCTTGTATAGGCAATACCTTGTTTATAGAAAGTGGAACAGGAAGAAACTAACATTAACCATTAACAGTAGCAATTTCTCTTGCTTTCAGCTCTAACTTTATGCCAAATAGATCCTTCCCATGTCCTATCTGAAATATTTACTATTACTGTTCTTTTTCTAAGTCAGTGGGATAAATGGAGCATTCAGTAAAATCATGCAGCTTTTCCTTTCAGTCAGCTTGAACTGCAGCCCTCTTTTGTAATTCCAAGGCACTATTTCTCATTCCTATGGTGAAATGTATTTCAAGAACAAATGTATATCCTCTGTACTAGCAAACCTGATGATAGGTGTTAATCACAGTAGAATGGAGTTAACATTTTTTAATCTATTTTAAAAAAGAACAGACCACTTTTCTAAGGGAAATGTACTGAATTGTGGCTGCCACAATTTCTCAGGTTCTTGTACTCAACCAAACTGCTTTATTCTTTCAATGCAGCTCACACGAGAAGCCCATGTGTTTATGTACATCCTGTCACCTTAAACAAACATGCTTACATCTTCTCTGGCCATCTGCTCTTGAAGCTGGAAGCTTTTCTCCCTTCCCCTCCCTCCTCAGCACCCCCCAACACACTCACTGGGTGCAGAATTAACTCGGAGAATACTCACTGGAAAGCATGAAGTAAATTCCTTCTTCCACACAGGTCACAGATCTGTGTTTCTTTGCTTCACTTAGAGTTTAAAAGTGACAATGATACCCCAGAAGATTTTGGCTTATGGTGTTGGTCACTAGAGATCATACTGGTGATTCTTTCTCTATCTCATTTTGGGTTAGCTCCAGAATGCCCTAACAGGGACTAGTACTTGTGTTTGGTGAAGAGTTTCATCACTGAGCAGGAAGACACCAGCACAGTTTGAGGAACTCACAGTCCAAGGACACAAACATGTTCAGGATAAATAGGATATGCAAGGAAAGCAATGGTAGTGGTGTGGTAGGTCCTGAGTTCAGCAAGCTCTGAAAACCTAAACAGAAGGGGCAAGGGGGAAAAAAGAAAGGACATGCTCTGGAATGGATGGAGGGACACACAGCAGAGGCTGAAGTTTGAGGCATAGGGAAGATGAGGAAACACAACAGAAACACAGTGGTAACAGCAAAAGCACATGGAATTGTTGGTTTCTGTGTAGTTTTCCAGGCAGGCACAGGTTCCTCCCACACATGGCCATAGTGAGCTGGACACGAGTGAGCTCTGGAGCAGGAGCTGTGACACTGCAGTCACTGTGGCACCGAGCCTGAGCTAATAAATCCTGCTGAGAGGAACACAGCTACAGGACTTCCATTTGGCTTGGAGAATAGGTTTGAGCAAGCTCATGTCTGGTAACTGAAAACTCTACAGATGTATTTTTGCTTTTCTGTGTATAAAGATGGGCCAGTTTCTCTCACCTGTGTATCTCTGATTGGAACTGAGACTCCTCAAGCTTTCAAAGGATCCCTGTCTTTATAAACACAGCCATGTGTGCAAAAAAAACAAACTGGGTGGTGAACGCTCCTTCTCTCTGTGTGTGAACTCCTGCTTTCAGTGGAGTCAGGGGTAAAACTCTGTATTTCAATGAAACGAGGACATCCTCTTACACATTTAAAGTTGTATTTCATGGAATCCAATAAAATCCATTGATATCTGGACACTAAGGAAACCAGCTGGTGCCTGGACTTTTGGAACACTTTCATTCTTAGAAAGATTTAAAAGACAGAAATAGTCTGAATACCTGGAAAACTTTTCACTCAGTCATTTTCATGTAGTGACTTCTTTAATACCTGCTAATAAATAATTGCTGTTCTTAATTCAGCAGAAGTGACATGCACGCAGCTACCAGTAAAAATCTACTTTGAATAAACTCATTTGTCATTACCTTTCTCAACACAGCTGTTGTCAGCACCATTACCATTTAAATTTGTTTTGCCCCTGACAATTAAAATGATGTCAACACTGCGAGAATGTAACAATTTCCATTGTTCCTAGCAGATAAGCAAGTTAATTTTGTGCTGCAAACCGTCACTGTAGCCATAATTAACTGACTGTGTATTGAAGAACTGTGATGTTTGAGATTATTCAGCCTTGACTGGGATGTATCAGTGACTAAATGTTTACTTACTGAACTGAGTGATTACTCCAAAACCTTGTCTTGTCTCCAGCAGTTTCAAGGCTTTTTCTCTGATACAGGTATTTCTTTTTTTAGTTTATTTGTTACAGTTTTTGAACCATATTTGAACATCAACCAATGTTTAGACTTTGGTGTTGCTTCTATAATGACACTGCTATAGAATACAGAAAGACATCAGGCACTGACCTCAGCCTGAACTCTTGAAAACTGTAATTTTCACACACACAAAAAAGTTTCAGTTCTTTTGTATTAGAATCTGCAGCTTTTCTCATAAGTTTGTTGCTAGATACATTACTGTTTGTTCATGCAGGAGACCTGATGACTTTTCTTCCTTTTCTAGATTTTCATCAATAATGAGTGGCAGAATTCTGAAAGTGGAAGAATATTCCCAGTATATAATCCAGCAACAGGAGAACAAATCTGTGACATTCAGGAAGCTGACAAAGTAATGTATCCCATGAATGACTATATGTTTAATGTATAAATTAAATGTATAACAAATAAGAGAAATGTATAAATAGATCAAAGCAACCAGTCCAGTATAGCACTGTTTGGACAGTTCTTTATTAATCATAATTCCAAAACCCATAATCTGACAGCAAATTCCATAAGCCTGCCTGTGTTATTTACCTGTGTCTTCAATTTTCTTCTTCCTTCTTCCCAGGTTGATACAGACAAGGCAGTGAGGGCAGCTCGGCTGGCTTTTTCCCTGGGGTCCGTTTGGAGGAGAATGGATGCCTCAGAAAGAGGCCATCTTTTGGATAAGTTAGCAGACTTGGTCGAAAGGGACAGGGCAATTCTTGCTGTAAGTGGCACATAAAAATCAGTTGATAGTTTTACATGCTGAAAGCAAATTCCTTCATGAACGGGTTGGTATGAATTGTGTGAAAACCACATGCAGCTTCCTGCCTGAAATGGCTTTGTCCACTTACAACGTGATGCAAAACCCACAAAAGCCAACGAGAGGCTTCCAGTGGACTCAGATCAGCTTTAAATTGGACATCGCGCAAAAGCAGGGGTGTGCACATGGGCGTGCCTGCCATGCACACCTGTAACTCCTCTAGAATAAGAAATGGCAGGTTGGGATGATTTGTGCAGATGGGAAGGGAGGGCAGGTGAGGTGCTTAGGCACACTGGTGACAAAATCCGGGTGCGGCTCCGTTTCGCTCTCGGATGGAGCCATCGGAACGGTGGCATTGTTAATGTTGTTTTCCGCATGTCAAGTGCTTTGAACTAAGCCCGTGAACATCTTAATTCCAGCTTTGTCAACACTTAAATCATCTTACCGCCAGCAGATACTGTAAAATCGCCATGGGGAGAAGGAAGTGCACAGCAAATCAAGTTTACTCTGCCTGTCATTTAATTTTTATTTCTGAAGCCAAGTTCTTTACTGAGTTGCGCTGCAGGCAGTGCCATTAATTGCTCTTGGGGATATAAGTCAGTGCAGAATTAGGCCTCCATTCTTCTCTACAGAAACTCATTTGATGGTTGGTGTGTTACACATGGGCGTCCTTTGCTCATTCTTAATGATTACTATTAGACAGCTATTGAGAATGAGTTAAGCTACTCAACATCTTAGGATATTTTATTGGATGTTTTTTGCTAAATGATCTTAGGAACCCCTAAGAGGATAGCTTAGAAGATACTTTTGAAAATAGGAATATTAACTAAAACATAAATACATTAGCTTGTTAATTTATGAGCTTCCCTAGAGGAAAGTTTGTTTATTTGATGGCAATAAATAAACTGGCTGTACAGTATAGATATCTCAGACCTCAGCAGGAGTCTTGGCAACCATATAGAGAAATTTTTATATTCACATCAATTATATAAAGAGGGATGTGTCCATTCTTCTCTTTATGGATTCAGATCATTAATACAGGGTTACAAGGAGCCCCTTCTCAGCTGTTATCATTAACATAACAGAACCCAGTTTGACAGGCATTTTTATCTTGGCTCCTGATTAAAGCGATTCAGCATTTATAGATCTGGACCAAACACAGTGGCTATTAGGTTCAAAGTACACAAAGGCACATGTACATGCATGTGGATACACACATAAACCCACAAGACAGACAGGCAGACAAACACACATAAACACACACATATGTTCTTAAAATCATAGCCATTCCAGAATACTCCAGAAGAAACCAGTTTCTTTTCCTTGAAAAACCAGTTTGGGTTTTTCAAGGAAAAGACATTCTGTTCACGTTTACGAAAAGGAGTAACAAAGAGGATCAGATAATTTTTCAGAACCTTCTGGGTTAAAATTACTGATTGGTCTTCATTAAAATCTTTGTCACGGTTCAAGAGCTGTTGAGGTGGTGAATACTTAGGAACAATAGTCCAAAAATATTACTATACTTACATCTCTTAACTTTTTCTTGTCCTGCAGACTATGGAATCACTGAACAGTGGCAAACCATTCTTGCAAGCTTTCTATGTAGATCTCCAGGGAGTCATAAAAACCCTGAGGTATTATGCTGGCTGGGCAGACAAAATCCATGGAATGACCATTCCTGTAGGTAAGGGGAATTAAAGCACAGCTGTGCACCTAAACCTTCTCATGGCCAGACTAAAGCTTGGTAGCTCACAGCTTCATGGAAGGCAGAGGAGAAGCCTGAGTTGCTCCTCCAGTGTGTAGTGTGTTGCTGAAGCAGATGTTGGAAAGTCAGCAAGGGGAGCACTGGGTGCCCTGCTCTTGTTCTGCCCCACATGCACATGTGATGAGGGCTTGGTTTCTTTTGCATGCGTCCATCTGAGAAGAAAATAGCTCAATACCTACATTTAATTATTGACACGTGTGTAAAAATAGATGAGATAGAAGCCTGGAAAATACTTTGGAACTAATGAAAACAGTGTTGGGTGCCTGTTTCAGAAACAGTATCATTATGTATCAATCTGGTTTGTATATGTCTCCTTACTGCTTTTGCAAATAATTTTACCTTGGACTAACACTGGATCTAACTCAATTTATATTTTGAGAGCATTCTTAATGTTACTATGGGGAATTTCATACATATGAGATATATTTTGTTATAGATGCTTCTTCATATTATTCAGTGGGATGAGTTTTATATTGTATATATGAGATAAACCTTCATGTGTGCGATAAAATCATTATGTTCTTATTCTTTTGCTAAAGAGATGCGAAAAAATCCTTACCATTATTTTTTCTTCAACAACTCTCTTCTTCCTGCCCCTCCCTCCCAGCTGTTTTACAAATACAGGCTGCATTGTCTGATGCAAACATATTCATTTGCAGTCCGGACTAGATGTACCAAGTGCTATAATTACACAACATAGCAAAAAAGCAGAAAATGATTTTATGTAGGTGCAGTCATTAAGATAAGTGTACTCATCTTTCATCTGCATAAAACAAATCTCTGGAAAAGCATTAAGGAAAATGAACATTCATTACATGGATTCTTTTTGGCTTCATGGTGCACGTGTTCATTGCACATGAGGGCACACTCAGGGATAAAGGCCCATTGCTGTTGCCCAGCTATTTCCCTGGTGTTTCACTGTGTGACACAGTATCTGCAGTACTCTCACTCGCCTCTCTACAGCAAAGCACCAAACTACCCAAGTGAGGCAAGCAGATAAACTGAAAATGCGCCTTCCAAAATTTTCAGAAGGGAAACAACCTGTAACTCTTCTTGTAGTGTTACTCATCTTAGTGTTTCACCTTATTAAAATTGCAGTGTGCACTGACTGGTGTTTGTCTTCACTATCTTATTTTCACCAAAGAAATGACAATAATAATATTTCGGGTGTAGACATTCCTGCAAGGACTCAAAGTTTTCCACAGTCATTTAGACTGAGATTCGTAAATCCCAGTTTTGCTGCTTGCACTTCACATTTAATCACACAAAAGTGCAGACCACACCATAAATTCATGTATTCAGCAAATTTCCTGTTCCCTAATCTCTTTCTCCCTGGTCAGTGAATGCTTCTTTCTCCGTCCTTAGCCCCATAGGTACACAGAAATTAGGTCAGCAACCAAAAGGCACTGCCAGATTAAGGAGAATAAATATTCTCTGCTTATTCTTGGTTTCAAGTACCTTATAGGATAAAACCTGATTTTTTTTTCGGTAAGGTGGGCTATGGTGGGTGAAAGGAAGGCACATTTTCAGCATGCCTTCCTCAGTGCAAACTTTGTGCTAACACAGTTTTCAGTAGTGTAAAATCATAAGTCCATTCACAAATCTTCAGGGGATCAATTAGTTCTTCTTCATTTAACACTTCTCTTTATTCCTCTGCTTTCACACCATAAATTTGTCATTCTCATGAAGCTATTTTAGGGCAAAGCCGCTGTTAAACAGTGGTGCTCTTTACGTTCATTTACCATCAGCTCACCAAAGATAAGACAACAAAATCAAAAAAAACCCCACTATTAAATCTTGTCTCTATTCAGTGTGCTAATAAATCTGAAACGTCCCCATCTTCTGTTGTTGCTGTTTTTGTTGAAGTTTTCTTTTCCTGTAAAATAAAAATAGGCAATTGATAGACAAGTAGAAGAAGAAGTGTGTTTTACAGTCACATTCCTTTTGGTCCCAGAGCTACAAAACCTTCAGACTGCCCTTTGCTTGCTCCCATGCGTAAAGCCTTGATGATTTAAATTAAAACAGAATGAGGCTAGGCCAGAAACTGTTAAACTAATAAACTGAATGCTAGCAGAAATGTATCTTTAAAGCAATATATGCTGTGATATAGTTTAAAGAGCTAATTCAGCTCTCCTCACCCACTTGTTTGCTGTGTCCTGCTATATGAGACATGGGACTGTATTATGGTTGTTATGCAAATAAAATACCCATGCTGGAGACTCCTGATGGAAATCTGAGCAAACACATCTGTGGAAGATATTGCTGTCCCAAAGTGAGATCCCTGGATAAATGGGACTTGCTTTCTGATTAAAAAATGAAAGTCTTTGGGCCAGGTGCTAAGCAGCTGCAAATTGATCTTGCTGTATTAATATCAGTGAGGACTGAAGAATGTCAGTTTACTTCAGCTGGGTATATTAAAAAAAACCCTTTAACACAAAATTTTAGATTGGATGTAGGATCAGTGTCAGGTCCCTCTGGCGGCCAGCTAGTAAAGGATAAGATAACAATCATCAGCCACAGCATCTTAGAATAAGGGTCATTAGCATGACTTAAAACACTCAAACATTTAAAAAGTCTCCTGTATAATTTGTAAGCACAAGGAACTTTGCTTACTGTTTAGAAAAATGGAATTAAGCTCATTTAATTCTTAAGCTATTTTGTCATTGTAACCGCTTGTTCTGCATTATGGACAGGGTGTCTCTTAGATCCACCTTTGGCCTGTCCAGAGACATCCAAGGCTTCTGAAGAACTTCAAGTCACATATGTTCCCAAAGATATTGTTAGAAAGCAACCTCAAAAATCCCATCTTGACAGAAAATCTGTGGATGATGAACTTTGGAAGTAGGTGTCAAAAAGGGCAGCTGTCTAGAGTCTAGTGGGAGACAGCAGGGAGAGCAGCTCTGCATGGGAGGCACCGCTCTGCGGAAAGAACGTTCTGCCTACGCTGGGCAGAATTAACCACCATTTGTCTGCCTTGGTAAGAGGTTCAGGTTATCTATAACTCTGTGATGAAGCACGCAGACATGTGGCAGTGATTATGCAGTGACAATCTAAAGTCAGACAGTGCTAATGTAACTGTGTTACTGTTATGTTGCCACCATCCTTCTGGCTTAGAACCCACCTCTCACAGTACTACCGAGTACAAGCCGGTATTTTTAGCTGACTCCTCTGTGTTCCTCTTGAGCACTTAGACAGTTTTGCTTGTATGTACTTCTCTGTATTTTGATTTCTACTTTGCTTCCGTCGGATCTGATGAATCTTCCTATAGTCTGTGAACCACTGCTAGCATCTGTGAAAGATAACTTGGAAAACCAAACTGATCATCTCAGTCTGTGACACAAATAGTCTCATCTCCACTGGGGAGTTGTCAAACTTCTGGAGATCAAAACATTACAACAGCGTTTTGTCAATGCAGTGCAAACCAACTGATAAACTATTTTCTTCTGCCTTTCCCTGAATCTCTTTTCTCTCTTTCCCTCCCTCCTTTATTTTCTCTGCTCTGTCCCTTGTCTTGGTTGCAGACTATTGCTACCTTTCTCATAGTTATTCTGTATCTGGCCCTCAGTTGACATTTAGCTACTCTAGCTCAGGTTTCTACTGGGCAAATCCTGTAAAGCAGATGGATAGAAATAAGCAGACCTGACAATAAGTTATTTCTAATCAAATTCAAGTTGAAGTCTTCTTAAACCCAAGAAATTTTAAGGATTAACCTGTTTATTGTTACCAGTTAAATCTTAGAGGATATTGCAGCAGGTTCCCAAAACACACTCTCCATTGTGAAGTCAGGCCCTTCCCCAATATTGCACAATATCTTCACTATTGATATAAGAGTGGCTGCAGCTTTGGACTGAACGAGGGGAGAGGCCGGGGCAGCCACTTCCCAGCCCAGCCTGGGAGGGAAAGCACATACCCTGTGTGAGACAGAACAATGGGAGCAAAAGCCCTGTAATCTCTCCTCCTCCTCCTCTTACTCCCTTCCGCTGTAAAACCTTTTCTTATCCTGGTAAATCATCTCCTGCCATTAAGCCTAGGTAACCTCATCATTTTCACATACTTAGCTGAAATTATTTTCCCAAGTTAAGAGATTTGAGTTTTTCTAGATGACCAAGCACTACAGGCCAAGGGGCACATTCAACTCATGCCTTTAGCATAGCCTTTCCCTCAGCTGTAGCCACACTGAAAAACATCTCGCCTAAATTCAGAGATAGTTTGGGCTAGTTTATACAGCTACGAGACTCAGCTGAGGTACAAAGGTGCAGTAAATCTACAGATGCAGGCTGAGCACACTAACAAAGCTACTGGTTAGACAGTACCTTAACTGATCCTTTAACAGGTCCCCACACAGCAGGTCCCTTTCTGGCTCTTTGTTAACTGTGAAGAAACCTGCATGTAGAACCTCAGCACGTGCTCCCAGACCTCAGGAAGTAAATGATGCTCAGTCACAAGTCACAACTTTCCTTCTTCATTCCACATCTAGAGATTGTGGTCCAGCTTTCCATCACTTCACACTGCCTGTGTCCTCAATGGCAGATGAGTCAGCTCAGTGTTACTCTATTAGCCCACACTGGGTTGTAGATACCCCTTAATATTGTTGTGTTCCACTCATGCCTTTCAGGAAATTGCCTTTGTGTTGTGACTCTTCACTTCTCTCACCCTTAAACCAGCTGAGGCCAGCAAGTGCTTCCATGCTACTGCAATTTTATGTGCAGAACAGCTCTTTGCCAAGGAACAAAGCAGGTTACTTTCTGATGGGAAGCCTGCTTCCTTTGTTCTACAGAAAGAACAATTAGGTTGCTCCTGAACCTAGGTTTCCCATGCTGGCTCACAAAAAAACACTTCCATTACTTCTTTATTTCTTTAACTGCCATCAAAGGCTGATCCTTAGAGTTTTTTCCCTCCCTCTATTTTAATTTTTTTTTGTTCTGCCAAGTCAAACTGCACTTGAGAGTAAGCATGCTCATCTGTTTCAGATGGAGATTATTTTACGTTTACAAGACATGAACCCATCGGAGTGTGTGGACAGATCATCCCTGTGAGTATCTCTACTAGTGCTTTCTATTTATTTTCATTTGAACCAGTTCTCTTTAAAGACACATAAAACATGGTCTTCAGCTATGTGTGTTTTCCATTACGAAAAAAGCTGAGCTCATATTGTTGACATATCTTTAACAGCCTCCCTGCAAATGCTTATTTGAACATGCTAATAGGGTTTAGGCTCTGTTATTAGGAGTTAAGTTCTCAAGTCATAGAATTCACATGATTAAAACAAGCAAAGCAAAACACAGTGTTAATATGCTGTCAGTGGTTATGGATGTTCACACAACTTATGGAAAATTGATGCTTTGCTGTGGTAGTCTCTTTATTTATTTAGTTTTTACTGTGATTTAACAGGCTCCTCAGTTCCTGGGAGAATGTGATGTATTTTAATTCCATTCTTTCCTTCTATTTCTTTTACAAGGCTGGAAGAGAAAAGGAAACTCCAGGAGACATATCATTACAATTAACATTGCGTAGCTAATAGAAGACATGAAATGTTTGTTTTATTTGTTGTGAGAGAGAAACACATCATTTCATCAAATCCAATACTCCTCCTACACCCCAGCAGACACCCTCATAATAAAATCTTGTTGAACACTGCATGGGAATTGCACTGAGAGGGTAACTTTTTCAGAAGAGCCAGTTAGCCAGCTTTGGCAGAAATTTCAATGGGAGGCTCACATATAGCTATTAAAATATTGCAAGGAAGCTTTTTGGCTTGACAAAACACTGGGGGACTAATCAGATCATTCTCTGAAATTTTTGTTGATGTTGATTTTTTATTTTGTTCACATTACCACAAAACAACTAAACAGAAACACAAAGCAATTCTATAACAAGAGAAGCAGCCAGAAAAGATTACTTTAACAATGTTAAGCCCCTTTCCCCTATTTATATTTGTTATTATTTAATGTCTTTGTTAAGGGGTAGCTTTTGTGTTTGGCACTTGGCAGAAACCCAGAGAAACATGCAATGACTCAGAGAATCTGTGGCTACAGCCATCCTGCAAACACCTACACACTCTCCTAACTTGGTCCTTATGAATGAAAGATTCCATAGCTCTGTCCACTTTCCTCAGCCAGGCACATACATAAGCATTTCCTAAATGACAACCCCAACATCTAACCCCAGCACTGCTGGACATCTCTTGTGCTTGTTTCACTGAGCTTAACTGACAGAAACTGCTGAAGAAACTTGGCCACAGGCTGAGGATTGTGCCAAAAGCAGGATTTATTTAGTTAAGATGTGTAAACCTTTGTTTGGGGTACCCAGTCACCCAGCACATGTTAGTTCTTCCCTCAGTTTTGTCCTCCAAAGCCTGAAGATGCCTGTCATATCCATCTATTCTAACACCACTGCTGATCTGTTCTGTGTTTCCTCCACGCTACCAGTCCCAGAGGACAGCCCAGGCTGCTGCATGTGCATGGCCATTGCCTGAACAAATACATTATTCAAAAATAAAATTAAACAGCAAGTCTAACACTGAACTCCTCATCCTCTTTCACATCCCAGCTTCCATCAAAACATGTGCTCTTTGGCAGTGCTGTAGCATAAACAGGGCTATATAGTGCCCTATAAAACTGCTGTGAGCTCTCCTTGCAATGCCATTAGAAGTGCAGGCTGTTAGCACACTGCTGGCCCGACAGCTCCCCTCCCAGGTTTATGTACTGGAGATGGAATTAAAACATCACTTTGTCTCCGGAGTTTATAAACAACAGAGGGAGTAAAAAATTGGGTGTTCGGTGAAGGAAAGACAGTTGTGTATTTTTTCAAGCTAGCCAGGGGCTAGAGAGATGTCTGAGAGTGGCAGCTGATATGCATCAGGCAGCAACAAGTTCTGGCCAGTGGCTGACTCTGCGACTGATACTTTCTATTCTCCTTCTAAAACAGACTGTTGTATGCATTTGTAAGAGTGATTGTGCAAGCACAGTTATTTTATTACTCTGACATTTTCACTAAAATCAGCAGGACTATCCGCTTAACCTGCTAGGATTAGGCCTTGGTGCAAAAGGCTTGTTACTTTTATCTAAGGCACATTTGCTCATCAGACTAATATAATTCACTGCATCATCTGCTGCAGTTCAATGAAGTTATAATGGATGACAATACAACATTTTATAGCAGTGAAGAGTTTCTCAGCTTGTTTTTTACTGTCCTTTTAACATCTCCCACATAGATTTCTCAGTAAGAAATCTTCAAGAAAATGAAAAGTTTTGATTGAACACTGACATTTATGGACTTTTTATTGTAATTCCATCAATTAAGGATTGTATAATTTTGAGTATAAATTTTATATCTTAAGATGTATTCAGGGATATGAAATTTACATCCAAAACTGCTTCAACATGAACAGTTCTTTGCAAATGTATCAGAAGCAAGACCTATTTTTATCAAACAATTAAAAGTGCCAATAGCAAAACAGTAAATGAAATAAAAAGTTGTGACTTAAAAAATTAACAGATAACAATTTTTTTTAGTGGAGATTGTGGTAAGGGTTTTATTTCTTGGAACAGGAGAGAAAGAACTAAGAAGTCGCTGTTGTTGCTTTCTTAATGGCAGTAATTTAAAAAAAAAAAAAATTGCTTTGTGCTGGGAAAGATTTATGTTGAGGATCAGCCTGAGAAATAAGTGAGGTATCAGCTTGACATCTTGAAAACAAAACACCACGGCAATATTTTCCATCTATCAACTTTTTTTTTTCCTACAGTGGAACTTCCCCCTGCTGATGTTTGCATGGAAGATTGCTCCTGCTCTGTGCTGTGGCAATACAGTAGTTATTAAACCAGCCGAACAAACACCACTCAGTGCTCTCTACATGGGTGCCCTCATCAAGGAGGTAAGAGGAACTGAGGGGAGTGATGTCTGTCTCTCCTCGTGGAGAGGGAACTACCAGCACATGCCTGCTGCAGCACATTCTCTAACAGTTCTCTTAAGTCATGCTTACCTTCATTCATTCATTCCTGTTTTGACAGGCTGGCTTTCCACCAGGAGTTGTCAATATTTTGCCAGGATTTGGTCCAATTGTTGGTGCAGCCATAGCCTCTCACGTTGGCATTGATAAAATTGCTTTCACTGGATCCACTGAGGTAAGAGCATTCACACACTACTGTAAAACATGAATAAATACTTCAGTCCTTGTGCTACTTTTCTCACTGTCGCTGAGTAAAAGAGCTACATCTAAATAGCAGCGGTCTGTGCTTCCCAGCTAAACTCATGTACCACAGGACTTCCCAAGCACAAACGGCTCCTTTCCTCCAGCCCCTGCTGTGCTCAGCACCTCAGCACAGGAGATATGCCTGGAAAAATATTACTGGGATTTCCTGTGGGCTTATGAGGATGTGAATCACATGCAAGTAGGCAGAACATCCCGTGTATATCATAGCACACATAAGTGCTGCTTTAACATCCATAATTTGTGTATCCTGCTGTACTTGGGGAAAAGGGAGAGGAAGGGAGCAAGTTGTGCAAATACACTCCAAATTTGATGCTGCATTCAAGTATATTGAGGATGAGGAGGAGGAAAAAGGAAGGAATGCAGGGAGAAAAGGAGATTGTCCAAGGTGTCAGTTCCCAAAATGATGGAAAGAAGCTGGCCAGAGGATAAAGGGAGCCAGTTGTCTCCTGGATGCCAAAATGTCTTGCTATGAATCTATGCTGCAGTTGTTTGAGAGGAGGCTCACTCTGAAGATGCAGGCTGCAATCTACAGCAAGACTAACCCCCAAAACTCTCATCACATCTTGCTCTCAAATATGTGCCAAGCTGGCTGTTATCAGGGTTGGGGTGGGGATGACAGAGGTACTCCAGACTGAAGTCACAGGAGAAGGGGCCTTATCTCATCGTCTGAAGGCAGACAGAAAGGAATCTCTGTGGGAGTTTCAGGGCTGGTTATATTTAGAGAGTGCTAAACCCAGCCCTTTTCAATTCAAAATCTGACAAAGTATTGTATGGAGGGAGCTAAACCCCAGGGATCCAGTCTCTCTTTGATATGTTTGACTCCCACTCGTGGCAGTGGAAGGCTTTATGCATCCTGAGGATACTGCTCTTCACAGTGAGACAATTTGTTTTTTGATTTGTGTTGATAAATTCACTGACCATGCAACCCTGCTAGATATGTGTGGGTATCTCCCTGGTGGGCCCAAGGATTGCAGAGACCAGCTCAATTATTTAAAATTATTCTGGTGGAATTATTCTGTAATTGAGTTTGCAAGTCACACACAAACCTAAATTACCAGTAAAACGTAGCTGCAGTTGTATGCCTAATTTGCACACACAGGTGTTTTGCAATTATTATACGCCTGTATGTGATTTTTTTAATGACAACTTCAGATTCTAACATACACTGGTTACATTCTAAGTCAATAGCTATATTAGATTTCAGATTATTCTATGGAATTACTCTAGTCATTATGTCTCCTGTATCCAATTAAGATTAGCATCCTGGAATACTGAAAATTTTAATATGAGCTGATTACCCCCCATAAATTAAGTTGAAACAATTGTTTTCATAAAGATATGTGGTCTCTGTTTAAGATAAATATTCTATTATACAGGATGTTGCACTGTTTGGAAGAAGAAAAATACAGATGGGTTAGGTTTCAAAGTTGTCTCTTGTAGCCAAAATAAATTTTATTGTAGTTCCAGACAGCTTTAGTTTTAATAGGCGTTTAAACTCAAAAGCTGTGGGTTTTATACTAACTCAGTGCCTACCTTTAAAAGCCTTACTAATAGGAAGTGAAAAGCATTACAGAGATGAAAAAGCAATTCTCTAAGAACCTAAAGCAAGAACAGATGGATCGTTTTAATGCAGAGTTAGTGTAAACTATTCCATATTGTTTCTGATTTCCTGTAACACTGAATTCTTGTAACAGCAAGTCAACATTGTAACATTTTAAACACCATGTTCTGATATGAGCTGGACTACAGTCTCTGACTCCTCCAAAGCAGATTTCAATTCCTAGAGAAATAGTAATGGAAGCATTTTTTCTCTCTGGTAATTGTCTGAAGCATGTCAACTGTACACTCCAGTGATGGGGATTTCCAATAGCCATTAGGTGTATAAACACCACGTATTAACTCCATTCCATCCATGTACTAGCTGAGGCAGTTCATGATGGGCAAGTTAATGATAAAACCTATCAGTACAAATGCAAAGATCTTCAAATTGAGATTCTGAAGCACAGTTTTTCTCAAGCTTTCACCATGAGGTCCTTTTATAGAAATTCTTTACCTTTGAAGTATACTTATAGCTAATGTAAACTCCCCATTTGCCTGTAAAAATCACAAAAATGGGATATTATTACCTTTTTTCTGCAGTATTCTTAAAAACAGGCTGCTTCTCCTACAAAAAAAAATAAAAATTGAATGATGCTAATGTGTTCCAATATTTGTAGAACCCAATCCATAGAAATATGAGCCAAAAGGCCAAGTTCACAGCCTTAACTCAATAAAGCCTGACACAGCCACACCACAGAGCCCTCCAGCCTTGCACTTTATCTTGCAACAGGACCAGTACCAGATGCTCACAGAAGAAGAGAGCATGTGTAGAGTGATCCTTTCCTTGCTGCAGCCTCACAGCTTCTGGCAATCAATGACTTACACACTTCCTGAGCTCAGAGGTGCATGTGGACACTTGTATCCCATGTGCCAATGGCCTTGTCACCCGTCCATTGGTCCAGCTCTTGACACTCCTGGTGACTGGGAGGCCTCAAGCCTGTGCCCATGCAATGACAACACAGAAATAACTTTCAACTTCTGCTTCTGATTTCTAATTTACAGCTATCCAGTGTGCACTCTCTTCTCAGGATTTTATATTCTTGGGCGCTCTGAATTTTTCTTAAGTACTGCTGTTTACTTTTCACACACCCCCTACAAAATAATGTGTGAAAAAGCATAAAGAGCTCTTTTTCTCTGGCGCCATTACTGTTTGATTTCATTTCTCTCCCATCTTTCCTGTTGCCCCTCCTTTTATGGGTTAGCTTGCACACATTAAAAGAATAGTCTGCCAACTCTTTCATGCCTCAGCCTATCTGCTTATGAAACACCCTCCCATGGATCATCTTCCTCTCCCAATCCCCTAGTAAATGTATCTCAAAACTCTTCCCTCCACAGCTCACTTGGAAGGGGAAGGGTTCTGCAAACTCCTGGCAGGCTATGGATTTCACTCTGACAACTGTCACGCTGAAAGAGATAAAATCATACTGAGTATGAAAGGCCATCTAAAATACTGTGCCTCCTTAGATTCCAGTAGCTTTCTTGGCTTCTCTGCCTGGTTCAGCTCACTCTTGAGCAGCCTGTTTGGTACAGGCATTTTAACCAAAATGTTTATTTTTACTGTATTGGTTTTAGTGAACCAGGGCTAATCCATGATCCTCCTTAATTACAGCAATCTCCTCTCAGGCTTCACTGACACATTTTCTCCTCATCTTCCATGATCAGATGAAATTGAAACTGACATAACCAAACTTTCTTCCAGCCAACATGACCATGTTAACAGTTGCTCCTATCCTTTTCCTACCTTTCCTTGAAAATCCATAATCAACTTACACATCTCATTACATCTTACTGAATTTCTCCTTTTCCCTTCTGGTCCCGAGCTGCAGGGCGAAACTCCCACTCCCTGGGAGCATGGGAGAGGTAAAGCTCAACTGTGTCCCGTTACCCCCAGTGTTTACTGCACAGGCCTTTTCCTTTTGCACTGCCCCTCTGTGCCTCAGCTTCTTCACTGTTCCACATATTCTTGTCTGAGTTCCTTTAAAAAAATTATTAGCAACAATTTAATTAAAACTAGTAATTTATATTTCCTGAGTTTAAGAACAGGTCCAAACTCAGGATGTCTGGGATTCCCATATATCTGCTGTTGGGCTGCAGTGCTCAGAAGTACAGGAGATGTTCTACAAGTCTCTTCCCCAGTGAAATACTAGTAGGCTTTATGTATTTTCAAGACAAGTGCTGATGAGGGGACAACTTCTACGCATACTGCAAGTGCAAAGAGTTTCTTCATATTACTTTCTTATTCTCTGAAAGAACTTTTGCTCTGCAAAAAAAAGGTGAGGGACCTTAAAATATCAGAGAACAGCAGCCATCAGAAGAAGCAGGTTTACTCTTCATTTGCCTTTATTTCCATTCAAATCTGTGAGCTCAGTTAAAGCTTTGCAAATACAGCCATTTTCCTGCTGTGAGCTGTCTGCCCAAGTCACTGTGTGCTCTCATGCTCCATCTGAACTGGAACTGGTGTGGGGATGGTGTACCCATAAGCTCCTGGTACACAGGCAGTGGTTGAGGGCAGTATGTTCTGGGTTTAAAATTAGAGATGATAATGAAGAGTAAGAAGTTACAAATTTTTTAAAATGCAGATTTAAAGCCCTGCCTGGGATAAAAATTGTGTTTTGATTGTTGCAAAAGTTTAATGAGTTCTAATAACTTCTGTTTAAAACCAAATGTGTAACCTCCAAATCAGACTGGCTTACAACTCTCTCCAGTTGTTAAATGCTCTCAAGATGAGAATTATAGATAGCACACAAAACATTTGAAGTTCTGGCCAACAAGAAATGTATCCTAAGTGGCTGGTTTCCACTTTGTTCAAACTACGACCCATTAAAATGCAGACAGATTTAAGATAGGATTCAGGTCTGTGTTCAGGCAGTTCTGTAGAGTAACCCAAATAAATATCCAACAAATTGGTTTGGATGCCTGTGTAAACAAAAGGTCTATAAACAACTGCAATAAACCCCAGCAAAAGAGTCTGCATTTTGCTTGGCAGAATGTTTTCTTTATGCACTTAGATTAACAAACCATGATCTCATCATTAGTCAACAAGATACTAGAGAGATCATCAAAGCAAACTACGGGAGAGTTGAGATTGATTCATGCCAAACAAATGTTTGTAGCTAACAGCTGTATTACCACTGATTCTAATTTACTCAGCAGGATTCTCCTTTCATTTCCAAAGTGAGATGAATGTCCCAAAGCATGATGTAGACAGAATGTCTTCCTACTGCACAGGCAACGAGTTGTGTGAGCTCTCCTGGATCACACAATCTCTTGCTGATTTTAGGCTTCATGAAGAATTGCAACCTGGCATTTTCTACTTTAGCAATAAGAATCCTAAAGGTGATTGACATATTCTGCAAAGTCTGTGAGCTTATGGTGCCACACACGTGCCCTATGTAAGGATTTAGGGAGGCTACATTAGCATTCATTCCTGCTCCTGCGGAATCTTTTGGATCCCATCTAGGACAGCTTGTGCCTCCTGAATGAGAAGTTGTTTTCCTTTTCTTTCCTTTGTGTCTTTGGTAGCATTTAGGAAGCTGTCCCTGGATAACTGTTGTGCCTCTGTCTACAAAAGATGCACTTCAAAAAGAATCACCTTCTTAAACCCAATACAAATAAGATGGTGTATCAGTCCTTTCAACTTTAGCAGGAGTTTAGCCACAGACTTCCACGGGGCCAAGATTTAACCTATGGAACAAATGAGCCATTTATAGCTTAGGAGTGTCTCCAGGAATTTGTGTTTGGGATTGCCTTTTCACTTGTGCTGCACTATTCAGTATGCTCTTTCCAGGGCTGCTCCTCACACAGTCAAAAAAAGCTGCTCTTCTTTGTGACAGTATATAATATTTGCTTGCCCTTATGGGACACACAACCTGAACATGCCAGGAGGCTCTAAAATGTTTGTTGGAAAGATTTTGCATATAATCTGGAACTCATAAAAAATAAGGCAGAGCGAGGGAGCAGTAGCATGGGTTTGAGGGTTTTACCAAAACAATGACATCCAGTGTCTCAATGGCTGGAGAGAGAGAACTGTACTTCAGAAAACACTGTAAATTTCTGCCTAGCCACACCATCTCCCCAAAACTTAATCCATCTCTTGTAACTTAAACCACTTACTGTTCTTCAGATATTCTCTCAATATCCCAAGAAAGGTATAGAGGGTATTAGTTAAAATGCCTGACTAACTGATGATATATATCTCCTCTGTCAAATACTGCACTGTTCATGGAATCTTGTAATCCATACATTTCCCTGTGCAGTTCTTCCCTTCGCTGTCTTGTCTGTGACAGAAAATGACCTGCTGTTCAGCTAGACTGCAGTTCCCCTATATTCAGGTGCTCCCTGACGATTTACAGTTTATCTGTGAACAAAGGAAGTTCAGAGCAAAGGAGAACTCAGGCATTCTGAATGACAGAGCTGAAGAGGAAGTACCACAAATCTTGGAGGTTTGCTTTTGACTCATGAGACTTTGAGTGCTCTAACAGTAACAGGCAAACCCACCTGTACCCTTCAGAAATACAGAGTTCTGTCTGAAAACTGAAAATTAAGAGAACAAGAAAGGCAACAAATGTTTTTTAATTTCTGCACTAAGCTGAAAATGCAACTGCTTAAGTCTCCTCTTGAAAGAGACATTAAACTTCCATACAGAGAAAGCTTAAATAAACAATAATCAAATGTTTTAGATCATGATACATTCTCACTGCCCAATGTCACACCATTGACAGTCCAGAAACAGACCCTTACAGGGCTATCACTCAAATAGCTTTGTTGCACAGGAGTGCCTCAAACTACTTTTTAAATCTTTGTTGTTGTTTGTCTGCATAACAAATTGTTTTCTTTGAGATGGACCAAATTACATCTGCCTCACCCTCCGTGCAGCTTACGAGGTTATGGTACTTCACAAGCTATCCGGGGATACTCCTGATATCAATCTTGAAGCCTATTCAAAACAAGGATGGGGAGTCAGGCCTTTCTCTGCCAACATTCCTGCTGAATAATCACACAGCTCCATTATCTGTGGGGGAGTCCTCTCTTCCAGCGTTGCCTCTCCGGGCTGTGCTGCCTGTTGGGAGCTCAGGGATAGAGCTGGGAGACACCGCGGGAAGCGTGTCCTGAATGGCCGTGCAGATTGCAACACTATCGCTTATCCCTTTCATGCTGTCTTTCTCCATAAAGAGAGGCTCAGTCACAAAAGGCCGCCTTTGTCACTAAATAACCACGGTGCTGGTGCCTTCCCGAAGACTTTTCTCAACTTGTAAGTGCACAGGGCACAACGGGAGCACAGTGAACAAAAATGCTGAGCAGCATGAGCCCCACCATCCTGATGTCTACACTGATCTCTAACAGGAAAGACACAGTGAAACCTTCTAATAAGTTTTCACTTGGAAACTTTACAACAACTTTCTCTGTATTAAAAATACCTCAGACTACACTTTTCCAAATTTACACCACTGTCTTTGGACTTGAATATTTGCCACATACACTGTACTTGGACTTGCATACTTGTCAATCACTTGTTTGCGTGGAATCTTTTCAAAATCTTTACTTACATGTAAAAAAGAGTGTTTTGACATTAAAGTAGAATGGAAGGCAGAGAGATGAGGGCTGGACACGTTGCTCTGGCTTTCTTGGTCTGTCCTGCTCTTTGTGAATTTTTGAGGGGAAATAACTGGTTTTTGCTCTTAGAGAGAGGGAGGTTTAAGGCAGTGAGGGTGTGAATGGCATTGGCTGGCACGGGCTATAAACACAGAACTCTGGTTTCCAGTGTACATTTTCAACACAGTTTGAGCGGCTGGAATTTCCAGATGACGTGCTCGATGTATGTGGTGGGGGTGGAAGGCAGAAAGGATCCTTTTTTTCAGGTTCACTTCTGGCTGTCAGTCAAACATAGCAATAAAATCAGCTCCAATTAAGGGGATATGCAAGGAATTTCATGATAATGTCAACACTCCATTCCATCAATACAGGGGTACAGAAAAAAAGCTTTTTCTTTTTTTTTTAAAAAAAGAAAAAACTCAGTCACACTCAACTGTGGTATCACCAGATAAACAGTTAATCACAAAGGTACATGAAGTGGTTCACAATTCCTTCATTATCCTGTGGAGTTTTTCCTTTGTTTTTTTTTCTTTTGGGGCCCTGGTTTCTGTTTCATTTGCTTTCTGATTACTCCAGTGCTGACTTAACTTTCTCTAGCAGACTGCCTTTAATTCTCTACGAGGTTCAGCTTCTCATCCATTAACCCCTTGCTGCAGGGAATCTCACTCACATAACCTTAGAAATAGAAAACAGATAGAGAGACCAGAGTACTACATGGGGAAAAAAGCCCAGCTCTGGGCTCATTTCATCTCTTTCTGTGTGACATTAAAACATATCCCAGTTAAAATAAAGCACTCACCAAGGTTCTTAAGCTTCTCAATATTCTGTAGGTACTTTTAATCCTGTGTTTTACCAAGTAGGAGACTAAATCTACCCGTGATTACTTCCTTAGCTGCAAAATGGTCACAGTTACACTGCAACTGTACAAAAGCTGATCTATTTTGGATTTGTTGATCCAGGGAGAGGAATTTTCTGGGAGCACAGCTGCCCCTCCAACTGTACTGATGTGGAAGCACATCAGATCTGTAGCTGTCAGATTGCTACTCCATTTAATCTACTCTTATGTTCATTGGTGAATCTGCAATTTGTGGCTGCTGCAGCTGACCCCATGATCTACAAAGACATTTTAGAGGTGATTTTGACCTCCTCAACCCATATCAAGATTATCTGTGGTGCAGCTGTGGGTCAGGACTGGGATGGTGCTTTTGTAACTTCTTGCCTACTTGGTATTCTGCTCTGTGCTGTTAATCCTGCAGAGGAGGAGGATGACTTCATCAGTATTTGATGTATTAAGCCTTGTGAACATATCAGTGGTTTGGATGGAAGAAATTGTAGTTACATCCATTTCAAATTTCTAATTCAGCTCTCCTAAAATGCCTGAAAAGAAAGCCCCAATCCATTTTAGCATAGCTGCATAGGGGTGAATGCTATACAAACTTAGTGCTGTGCCTTATCCCCTCTCAATTTCCAGGGGGAAAAAAAAAATAATAAAAAACAGGGAAGCTGTCTACTACTGATGAGAATATGTTTGGAACAAAGAACCTGCTGGATTATTTAAAGCTCTGCTCTACTGATAGCAAACCCTGGCTGTTAAAATGAACTGTATGACTACATTCCCTGTAAAATGTGTCTCCATTTCCTTTCAGGTTGGGAAGCTGATCCAAGAAGCAGCTGGAAGGAGTAATTTGAAGAGAGTTACACTGGAGCTGGGTGGGAAAAGCCCAAACATTATTTTCGCAGATGCTGATTGTAAGTCAGCACTTCCATATTTTTGCTAAAAACATATCTGCATGATGTCTTTCTCCTTTTTTTTTTTTATAAACTAATTTTAGGGCACATCTTTCATATAAAGTGAAGTGAAGCAATACAGCTGTATCTAATGATACTTTTCAATCTTACAGAAGCAACCTAAGGTGTGCTATCTTTTATAAAATACAACTTTTGAACCCACAAATTCATAGTCAACAAGAGAGCAGAAAAAATGTTATAACCAAGCATATAGACATGGTGTTTTTCACAGTTAGTCCCACACACATTTGCCAACCTATGCTCTGCAGCAAGGTGATTTAGTGCTTTAAAACTGGAAATTCTGTGATTTTTTTGGTTCAAAGCAATTATAAAAAGGGAGGACACTTTTATGTACACTTGACTTGCTAATCTAGTCAGTGTTGTCTTCCTTTGTTAAGTAGCTGTATTCCATTTTTAAAATTTTTACAACTGAAGAATTGTGTATTGAAATATCCTCACTACCACTGTCAGCAGGGAGCTGAAAATTTTGGCAGATGTATGATGTTGTGCAGCTGAGATTTCTGGCACCTGAGAAGGCACAGGACAGCTGTTTAGGATAGGATGTAAACACAAACTAAAAGTTTCTGCATAAATGATCAGCAACTAAATAGTTACAATGCTGATATCTAAATTGTCAGCAGGAGGTTTTGAGGTTAACACCCCGTTAAGATGAATGAGATGGTTCACACCTCGCTCTGAGCTCTTGTTTCAGGCTGGGTGCAGGCACCCTATACTCAATGCCCTTTCTGAGAACTTTGCAACCCCAATAAATAGATACATAAGGATTTGGTCTTCTCATTTAAAAGGGGTAAGTGAATAGAATAATTTTGAATAGCATTAATTACAAGAGATGGTTACAATCCTGTATCCATTTTCAAAACTTATTAATACCTAAAAAACTAGGGAAAGCTTGACAACTTCCAGCAGCTTTTCTACGTAGAAATGCTTTACCAAGTTGAGGATTGAAATTTCAGCTACAGACATCCTGGTAAGCTAAAAAAGCTCTTGTCAGCTGGAGCCAGACACAGATATTCCAGCCTTCTACCCAGTTACTCATCTCCACCTCCCACCAGATATCACCGTACCTCAAATGTCCCTCACCTGCTAACTCAGACTTGAACACCTAAACATTTCTAGTAGAGTGACTTGTGCCAGGTCTGTGTGTCGTGGTTTTATGACCTTCCACGGGGGAAGAACAACTGCTCTCTGGTCTTCCCACAATTACAACCTCCAGCACTTGGCCTAAGATTTAAACTTCAAAGCTCTGATTATTTAAAAACAGCAATTGGCTCACCGTTCCAAAGGAGTTGTTTGTTCTGCTTGAGGAACACTGTGTGCCAGAAGTTAGAAGAAAGCATGATAAAACTGTTGAAGGTTTAGTGCACCAAAAAAACAGAGGAGAATGGTTAGAGCCCCTCATGGTGAAAAACTGGTAACAATAGAGAAAGAAACATTACTTAATCACAGCTATCCACCAGTGCTTTCAATCTCCATGGAGCTGCCAGGGAAAATTTGAATGGGGTCCAGGGAACAACCCATGTAATTTTTCTAAAGACCACACTGAGGGCATAAAAAGACATTTCTGTTAGGCAGAGTTGTCTAGAATGTGCTGAAAGTAAAGCACTGTTTCTTTGTTTAGCCCATGAAAGATTATACTTAAAGCAATGTTCCAAAGTGTTACAACTGGTAACAGAGGTATTACAGTGCTGTAGGGCATCACTGTTTAGGGATAAATTCATTATTCTAGTCTAGTCAGTTACTACACCCAAAGTAAGAATGTGGCCGTGAATGTCTAAATATGATTGGATCCTCTCTCCTGCTTGGACAACAATGTGTTGTTGTACCTCCAAGGAAGTTGGAGTAGAAATCGAGGGTTGATTGTTCTATAACACACCTATAATTTTAATGCCTTACCCGGTCACCTGCATGGGCCAAGAGGAAATTTCTATGTTACAGAAAAGGAATCTGGCTTTTTGGGAAGGACTGGTCTTGCCATTATCAAAGTCAAATTTTCCCATGTATTTGGTTTGCTGTAATTCTCACATATGAAGTATTAAACCCAGTGCCAACTTGGGATCACAGACAAATTTTCCTCTCCAAATTTCCCTACAGTGACCCAGTCAGATGTATTTATGTGGGGGACATCCCACTTCTGAGGTTCCCTTAAGGGTTTTGCTTGGTAAATGACATGTTGCTGGATATAAGACAGTAGTGAAGTTGTTCTTGCATACCTTACTCCTATTGACTGCTAAATCACTGTCTTAACTTTCCCAGTGGGAATCATCCTCATTTCTGACCTGACTCAACTATGGGATGTCTTGATTTAATTTTATTTAACCAAATCCTAGTACTGAAGTTTGGGGAATGTGGCACTGTGTAATACACACAGCACTGATGCAAAGGCAGATTAGCCCACGGTGTTGCAGTGCAACATGTGCTGTCTTGCTTTTCAGTGGACTATGCTGTGGAACAAGCTCACCAAGGAGTCTTCTTCAACCAAGGACAGTGCTGCACTGCAGGCTCACGGATTTACGTGGAAGAATCAATCTACGAAGAGTTTGTCAGAAGGAGCGTAGAACGTGCAAAGAGGAGAGTTGTGGGGAGTCCTTTTGACCCAACTACAGAACAAGGTCCACAGGTAAAGGAGCAGGGCTTTGGCTCTACAGCCCAGGAGGTGCCTGGAAGTATTTAAACTCCACTAAGGCAGAGGTCAGTCAGTGCACACTCATTCAAGGTCCAGGGTAGCTGATACTACCGATATAGTATATATATACATATACACGTATACATACATATATATATATATATATGCACAATACATGCTTTCAAGATTAAAGTTCTAAAAGAGTAGATAAGCTGTGCAGCTCTGAGGTGTTTCTTGTTAAATAAAAAAATCTCAATTTAAATATGATGTTTGCCTCCCAGTTTTAAGACCAAGATTTGGATCTTCAGCCCCCAAAATAGAGCCGTAAATTGTGAGAAGCTCTTAAAAGCCTCTATGAGCACTTCACCATCAAGAACTGTCTTCAGCCATACCTATGCTTGGAGATCCAAGAATTCTAAGCAGAAGACAGGCATAATCAGAAATAAGTCTTTAGAAAATGTTCCTGTCACTAATAACCAGCTGGGCTTATAACATTTTCAGGAAGTTAATCTGGTACAAAAACTAATGATCTGCTTTTTTTGTGCTTGTAAACTAGATTGTTTAGCAAGTGTGGGCTACCACAAACATAAGGTGACACATCTTAAGAAGTCTGAGCCCAAAGTTACAGGCAGCACCTGCTTGTAGATCTTCAGCATCTGCAGCTCAAAGAGCAGTGATGGAAGCAGGAGCTGACTCACTGGAACATGACTTGTCTAAAAACACCTATTTGGACTCAGTTGACAAGTACATGGTCTGCGCACCAAACAGCTTTTTCTCTCTTTCAGATTGATAAAAAACAATACAACAAGATCTTGGAACTGATTCAAAGTGGCATCACTGAAGGAGCAAAACTTGAATGTGGGGGAAAGGGGCTGGGAAGAAAGGGATTCTTCATTGAACCTACAGTGTTTTCCAATGTAACAGATGACATGCGGATTGCCAAGGAGGAGGTAGTCATGTGTGGGCAAAATCCTTTTAAAATGTCCTAAATATTACTTTTCTTTTTTTTTTTTTTTTGTTTAATTCCGAAGACAAAAGCTTCAGAGTAAAAATTATGACCATATTAAAAAAATAAAATAAAATTCAGAACTCCTTATGCACACAGCAAGTTACATCATCTGGGTAAGGAAGCTCAATTTTTGTCACTGACTGTAAGGTGTCAGATATCAAAGAGGAGATATGGGTAGAATGGACAAATTCCCCTGAGGCATCTGCTTTGGGAAATTCATGCAGTTTTACAGACAGCTATTATCACTAGTTATCACTAAATTTTGCTGTGGGAAATTGTAAACAGTATAATAGGAGAGAGAAGATAATTAAGAAAGCAGAACAAAACAAGAATAAAATGCCTATGAAGGGGATAGTTTATTAATTTTTATTCTTTGTTGCAGATTTTTGGGCCTGTTCAAGAAATACTGAGATTTAAAACCATGGATGAAGTTATAGAGAGAGCCAACAATTCTGATTTTGGGCTGGTAGCTGCTGTCTTTACAAATGACATAAACAAGGCCCTGACAGTCTCTTCAGCAATGCAGGCTGGGACGGTCTGGTAAGTAGAAGTTAACCCACTCCCACTCTTGAAGATAAAGAGTTTGACTCACTATCATCATTCCACTTCAGTTTTGCACCCTTTGTTAAGAATATTTATGCAGCCCATGCTAGTGGTGGATCACTGGCCAAGCCATGGAACAGCAGTGGGGAGGTGCTGCTCACTGCTGGAGCTGGAAAGCACCTTGCTTCCCTGGAGCACTGCAGCCACTGAACGGCTTTACTGAAAACAAACAGGATAAACCATCCTTTCTGGGGAGCACAGGAATCCAGGGAGCTTTCACTAAAGGCACAGAGGATTGTGCACTTTCTACAACATTAGGGAACTGAGAGGACGCCTCCTCTCCAGTCTTTAGGGAAAGGGAATGCCAGCTCTAGAGTTTAGTAGCTTGCAATTTAGTATGTCAAACCTGACTAAACTAAAGAGCTGCATGAAATTAGGGAGAAAAAGTGCAAACTCAAATCTAACAGCTCTATGTTATAAACTGGCACTGAGGTTTGGCAGCAGATTAACAGCTCATTACTGAAGATGTGTCCAAGGGTATGGTGGTCTCCTCTGGCCCCCAGAGGTCAAATCCAATTCTCTTTAGGAGTAAGAAGCAGACTGTTGTTTTTGTAGCATAAATCCCTCATTTCTTTTCAACACGAAACAAGTCTGTTATTACTAAGGGGTATAGAGTGTCCTTAGCTCCACAAGTTTCAGTCTCTCTCTGAGTTATCCAGAGGTCTCTCTGGCAGTGCAGCTGGATTTAATGCCTCTTCTTGTTACAGGATAAATTGCTACAATGCCTTAAATGCCCAAAGTCCTTTTGGAGGATTCAAAATGTCTGGCAATGGGAGAGAGATGTAAGTATTATACTGCTGTTTTCTAAATTCTTCTCAACTCAACAACTTAATAAACATTAGAGAATGTTTCCATGCAAATTAAGATCCAGAAATATTCCAACCTGAGAATCAGGGCAAAATATAAAGTGACATAAGGTGACATTTAATCATCATTGCCAGTTCTAAATGCAATTGATTTGCATGGTAAGACCAGGTTTTTATTTTTTGGGTTTTTTTTTAATGTTGCAAATTAACTTATTAGAATTTTCTTCTTCTGAAAGGAACTGAAAATTTCTGTGTATTTTTCTGAACTTGTAATCTGTGTTTTCTTGAAAGTTTTTTTAGCCATATTAAGCATGACTTTTCAAAAAGACTTTCTCTTTGGTGCTGCTGAGTGCTTGTTGGCTGGTTTGGTGTACCTGTTTCAGAGTTGTTTTGCCATGTACTGTGCCTCTCTTTGTAGTTTTTCCTTTCCTTTCTTCAGTTTTCACTCTATTTGTTAACACAGATGCATTTGAATTTTACAAAAAAATTATCAGCTTGCAGATTTTTAAACAATGAAATCAGGCAAAGAGAAGGAAACAAATGTGTTAACATACCTTTGAAAAAAACCACTTGCCATTATATAGCTTTCTGTCTTTCTTATTCCATTAAGCGCTAAGTGTCAAATATTTTGAAATGGAGCTCCACACTCAAATATTGTCCCATGTACCAAATTTAAAGTCTTACCAGTTTCTCATTCTCATTACAATCACAAGGAAGTTTGGCAATTGCATCAGCCCCAGATTGGTTACATACCAAGGATTCAATTAATTTCTGTGCGGGAGGTATGTGTACCAGATAAGTCTCACCTAAGTTTTCAAAATAGCTTATGGCTAATGGTAAACTCAGCAGTAAAAATAAAGTAAGGTCAAACTCTTTAAAACTTTAAATATGTTGAAGTATACAGCTTGATCTATAAAATAAGCTCTATGTAGACTGAAGTATTTTCCCTTGTTAGGGAGTATTTGAATAACACATTCATGCTATTCACATTCATGAGTTATGAGGTGATCTCACACTGGCATAAATATGTCAGGTCATCTAACTCTTATCATTGTGAAAATATTCTGAAACTACTAAGCTCGATAGAGCTCATGAGTAACTTGACACCCAGGGGTGACCCCACTGACTCCAGGGAGGTTCAACTGTGCAAGCAAAATATTCACGTATCAATGTTGCAGAGTTCTTAAAAGGGGGGAAACCCAGACAGCACCCCAGCTCTCATAGAAAAATCTGTGGTAATTGCACACTTGATTCCTACTACAGCTTTGAAAGTATTCATCATAAACAATAAATGTTTGGAATGGCAATAATCTCCATCTCACAAAGATGCCTGAAAACCTACCTATAAGTAATTATTCTACTCCTTCAGAACCTCTTTGATCAGATACCACCTTCTAATTCACCTCCTCCACCCTGCATTAATACCTGCATACTTCTTATTAAAATGCCACTTTCCTAGATTCTTGTTTTTAAGGGATAAATAATGTTCAGTTGGGCAGTTAAAAAAATAAAAGCTGTTTATACATTAGTGTGTCATTACAAAGGTGACACTATGTTACAGACAGACCATAACTGGGCCACTGTGCTTCCTCTGCCAGTACTGCATTATCTGGGACTTGTTTTCGTCCTGCATTTAAATTCACAGGTTTTCATCACACATGGGCAAAAATCAACCCGAAGTTCAGAACTGTTATATTCATTTTACACTCCCACAAAATGTAGCAGAGTATGTGCATCCCAGTAGAGAACCAGAACTCATGTACACAATACAGGTGATTTCTGATTGCATTAAGATTACTTAAAATATTCTTCTATCCTTGAAGAGGTTTAGAAGTCATGGCTTTGTTTTGTTTTTTTTCATTCATGTTTCTTTAAAGCTTCTTATCACTATGTGGGAAATGTAAAATTTAACTCATGTAACTAAAAATTTGGTGGTTCACCCCAGATAGCCACATGTGGCCATTTTATATTAGAGCTCCCCAAAATTCTGGCCTCTGTCCAAATGTCTTCAAGGGAAGGAAGTTCCATTCTACTTCAGAACTCTTCTTTAATGTCATAGGAATTGTTACTATCTGATATAGTGGATATAGCTATCTGGATAGCTCTGAGATACAGCAATGCACACCTGTATTCCAAAAAACAAGTGCAAGCAGGAGAATGGCTTGGAGTTGTAATTCCCAAATCTTTTTTTCCTCCTGGACTGAGGTAGGGAAGAGAATATATAATATTTCTTCTTAAAAAGTATATTATTCCCCTTCCCTCATACCTACACAACCAAGGGACATCACCATGCAGATTTGACACATGGGACTTCTTCCTTTTCACAGACACAACCTTTATTCTCACTCTGATACCAAAGTGCAGTCCCAGAAGACCCAGAGTGGCCATAGAATAGAATAGTTTTGTATAAGTCTGTGGGGACAATCGAGCCCTTGAACTGAACACACACTGACTCTTCTGCTCTGAATATCTGGCATAACCCATCTTCCTATTCAGCAATTGCAGCTTTTTAACTTTTGAAAAAAATATTTGCCTTAGAATTCATCACAATTTTCCTTTTCCAAACTATTGACCAGAAAACAAATGTGTAAGGCTCTGAAGCCGTGAGTTGAAGAAACAGACAATAAATGTCTCTAATTTTGTTTGGCAGTCCAAGATGAAAGATCAAGTGGCATTTGGAATGTACATAAAATCACTCGTTGCTGTCAGCTGGGTTGCCTATTGGCTCACAAATATGTGTCTAATGGGTGTCTGGAGCTACAAAGCAGCCCTGCTGAATCCAGAAACTTCCACACAGACACATACTAGCATTAGTTACTGGGCTCCAGGCAGCTCCTGGTGACAGCTTCCACTGAGCCCTAAGGGAATACTTCTGATAAAGAGCTAAAGTTTTTGGTCATTCTTTGGAGACAAATCCACCACTTTCTACTGCAAGCTGGGGGTGGTGTGGTCAAGATCAATGGGCACCTTTCACATGCACAAAAGTCTTCACTAATATTTGCTTGCAGGTACTTAGACTCTGGTAAATCTTAAAACTGCCTACAGAATAATCAATCTGCTGTATCCCTTAAATACTGACCACTGTATCACATATAAGGCTTACCAAACCAACAGGCACATATGCGTTCAAAACTGCAGATGAAGTGACATGGGCTGGTAAATACTGATATTTCTGCTCAATTGAACTTTCCAAGGAAGATTACAGCAGTTTCACCCCAATGTTATATTTTGTGTAAAATCTGCAGTGTAGAAGTAAATACAAAATGGGTTATGCAACAGTGGGGGCCTACAGAAGGGTTTAATTGCCTTAAACAGTGGCCTCTCACTCCATTCTGAAACCCTCATTAGAAGGTGGTTCTGAGGAATTCTTCTGAAATATTCTTTATGGTTCAGTTGGCATTTAGTTCTGCACAGGAAAATCCAGAGAGGAGGCAGTGTCAAATAAACATTCTAACATCATATATATGCCAGCATGTTCTACATTTTAATATAAGTAATAGAGCGATACTGTGTGCATCTTAGGGGTGGGGATAAAAATTCAACCCATAAACAAATGTCTGTAAGACCTCCTGCAAAAAATCCTCATTGAGTTAATAAGGAAAAGGTATTTTACTTCCAGACTTGGACTGTACCTGTTTTGAGGTGGGGACAGTGTTTGCTTTACATACACAGCATCTGGAAGACATAACTCTACTAATGACATAAAGAGACTTCTCCATTACTCAAAATGGGCACAGGAAAATGGAAATAGCTGTCCTTCAGAGAAGACCAGTGCAAGTCCTATGAAGCCATGCAACATCCACACTAAACCTCAGCAGAGGGGCCAAAAAGATGAGCCAGACTGAAGCTGACTAAAACAAAATGTTAACAGCATTCAGAAACACCCTCTTTTTAAACATAATCTATGCAAAGCAGAATGTGTCCCCCTCAGAGCCATGTGTCAGATGACTGGGACCAAGTGGGTGCCTGGTCTCTAGCAGTATGGAGGTCCAGGGCCAGGACAAAATGAGGAATTCTACAGGGAATCGAAGAAGGGAATCTGAGCAAGCTGAACCCTCTTCCACATTAAGTGCAAATGGTGATTTCTAGGGAGTTTTGTTAGGGAGAAAAGATCAGCACCTTAGAAGTGAAGTTCATCTTTACCCACAGTTGTGAGTAGTTCATTTTTCATTGTGCTTAGTGCGGGTCTTCCCTTTCTCGAGCGCAATATAAACAGTAATTTCACTGGCCAGTGGGGTAGGTCTTGGTGTTTGGACATTTTCAAGGTCTAGAAAAGACAGAGGATATCTATTTGCTCCCAAAAGCTCCATCAACAGACAGTGAGTATTTCTGTGTTTAATGTTGTGTGTCTCATCAAATTCTGAAGCCATCCATCGTTCTTCTGACCTAAACTAAATTGCAATTTTGGGTTATATCTTACCTTTATCAAGAAATCTCTTTGCAGATTTTTGCTTGATAAACAATACCTGGTATAAGCTGATGATGCAATTTGTTCTTTAGGGGTGAATGTGGATTGAGAGAATATTCTGAAGTTAAAACTGTGACAATAAAGATCCCTCAGAAGAACTCCTAAAACGACAGAGGACCGTGTTGTGCAGAAGAGCACATGATGCCACCTTCTCTATTCCTTATGGAGACCAGCACTCAGGAATAAAAAGTGTTACACAATATTTAAGAAATTAAGTTGCAACATATATACTGGGCACATAACTGCATACGTAATGCAAACCAACTCTGCATGTTTTCATGAAAATCTCCTGAGAATCGTTACATCTTTTTAAAACAAATTATAATGAGATAAAATTGCTACTGGGCATCATTTAATAACGGTTCCAGCTATAAAACTGTTAAATGCAAATGCATGCACACACACATTTATCTCTTCCTTAAATAAACAAAGTAAGTCTTACTGCTTTCAGGCTGCCTTCTCAAACAGACCTGCCTTGTACTGACATTGTAGTTTCAATCAGGGCTCTACAAGCCAGATTTCACCCAAAACACTAGCAGTGAACAACACAAACAAGTGTCATTGATGTTCTTAAAAAATAAAAGATTCTGAATGGTAATGGCCCCAAACCTGGCATAGTGGCAACTTTCCAATTAGCACGCCCACAGAAAGAGGTCAGACTGGGGAGGGAATCAATCTGCTGCATGGCCAATGAAAGCCAAATACTTATCAGCGAGATTTGGCTTTCAAGGCTCACAACAATTCGGATTTCAAAGCTTATTTTCATAATTACTTTATGTCTTGCTATAAGCAAAAAGTCCTCCTTCATTTCCAGGAACTTGAAGGGATTTACCTGCCTGCCAAAAGAGCAAGGCCAGACAGGGTGGGTGGGTGTTAACGAGAACAGGAACAGATTCCAAGGCTTCAGAGAATACTTTAGCTTTCACTGCTTGTCTAGTTTTGTTGTTGTTGATGTTGTTGTTACTGTTATTGCTTTCACCTTGTTGTTTTTTTTTAAAACAAATATATGCACGCACAGGCTCCATTTATTTGTCTGCTATTAAAGTGTCTGTGATTACACTGGGAATCATTAAGAACTTGTTACAGTTTTTAGTAAATGATGTCTTGCCGTCCTCACCATGCTTGTGCACCTCAGGTGACGTTAGTGGCTGGTATTGAGCTTTCAATTATTTGGTTTCTTTTGGTCCAGGACAAAAATATGAGCAAGCTCTTTCAGAAGTGAGGTGTTTAAAGCCTGTCACATTATTACCTGCTGCCTACAGAGACTCTTCAAATCTATTACTGACAAACTAAACACTATCTCTTTCTTTTTTCAGCTGCAGAGCTTATCAATTCCCCAGTTGTTTTTTTTTAAGAGGTTTCATTTTATGTTTTAACTTAGAATTAAGAAAATCTATTTTAGAAGTATAGTAAATCATCCACACAGTGTAGCTACATGATCTGGGGTGTAAGGACAGAATTACAGCCTCAGGTGTAAGTTTTCCCAGCTACAGAGTCTATGCTATGAACTGTTGAAAACTCCAGCCCTGATCAGAAACTTAATTTTGCATGTTCCTAACTTCCTTTAGTCTCTGAGGAATTCCTCTTAGATTTGAAGTTGTATGTGTCCTTCAACATACTGCTGGCTCAGGACAAGAGTCTCCAGCACTTTGTAGTGTGGTGGCCCTCAATATTTTGTAACTCATATCAAACTGTGTATGTGTTTTTAAGCAATACGTTACACACTCTATGGTTATTCAGAACTGATAGTACATTCACAGACATGGAGATAAATCAAAGTATTCCTGAGTTGTTAAATTCAAATGCCATATACTTCTACTGTAGTGTATGTCAGAGTGAAGAAAAACAAAATACAGCAAGTAAGAGATTAGTTATCTTTTAAACTGCAATATAAGATGTGAAAAAGGAGATTTTACTTCTTTTCTCCTATTTACTTAAAAAAGAAACTTCCTGTGCTTACAGCATTTACACCATGTACTCTTTTGTATTCTTTTTGTGTATTTTGTATGTCTGTGCTTTATTCCCAATACATTCAGGTAAATAATATAGAGTTGCCATTTTTTTCAACCCTGTCACTGCAGCTCCATTTGATGTACATGGATTTGTGAAATCCTTTTTTAGATGTACCATCTGCATGGATCCAACAAAACATTTTTCCAGTCCCTGCAGCTTTTTGTTACAGTTTTTAATCATGTATATAGTTATATGTTATTAAAAAAGTAAAAGGATATTTTCTATGAAGTTTTTTCCATTAAAAAGGTTTAGAGAAAGACTTTAGACTGTGAGACTCCTTTATTATTGACAGAGCTATAAATATTAAAAAAAATATTTTCTTAGCAAAAGATCTGCTCTCACAGTAGCTTTATTTTCATTTGCAAAAGTGAATGATGTAAAAGGCCAATTACATTTTCTGGAATATTATTGCAGCTGTATGAAAACACTTGTGAATTGCAGATCTAGGTCATAGTCAAAGTCCATCCTCACCCTTATGGTCATAAAGTTTAGCTATTGGGGCAGGTCTGAAGTCATCAAAACCAGTGGGGCACCCTTGCAAACTGCTGCATCACAGCTTGATTTTTGGATAATATTTTAAAAAATCATGATGCCTTTTCTTTCTCTAGTAGACATTTCAGAGAGATTATTAAATTAACACTCAGACCTTTTATGGAGAGATAGTCTACTTTGATTTCAAAATGCTAAAATGGGACAAGGACGGACTGAATTCACATGGCCAGGTACTATACAACTCACCCTCAAGCAATGCCTTTATTCCAGGTTACTTTCATTGCCAGGGACTGCATTCCTTTTTGAAATGGTGCCTATTTAGGTAAAGTAAGTGCTCAGTTAATACAGCCAAGCTACTTCATTGTATGGCAAGCAGTGGTTGTACCTCAGTGTCACAGAATAATACTGTTGGTTCAATCAACACTTGAGAGGCAATCACGATGGAGTAACTTGACTAGAATAGATGGGATAAAAGAGAATAAGACTCAATAATAGGAAGGAAATTGCATTCTTAGAGAGGAGTACTGCTCCTTAAAGTCTGGAATATCAGGTGCATATTAATCAGAGTATTGTTTCTATTTAGTGGCACGGACAGCTCTGTTGTGGGACTTTGGGTGGACAATTAGAACTTTCCATATTCCCCATCTCTCTGACCCACTTGCCACCTGTCTCAGCACTCCAAGCAGTCATCCAGGCACAAGCAATGGAGACGTTTTCTGAAAGCAAAACAAAGGAAGGAAGGTTGTTCTAGAACCACTGAAAACAAGATATGTTTTCTAGTGAAACGAGCTAAGTTTAATCCATAGTAAATAAGCACCCTGTGGAGCTAGTGAAAGTGAATGTATCAATAAAAGTGTACAGGCATAGTAAAGGGAGAATTTGGAATAACTGTGCATTTCTTCTAGAAAAGGATGTGAAGAAAGACAGAAAGTTTCAATTCTGTGGTCTACAGACAAAGCAGTGGATATTGATACTACTTGGCTATCATTCACACATTTATTGGTGCCCTGTTACAGAGAATGCTCTTTCTTCCAACAGAGGCCAGGATGAAAAATCTTGCCTTGCATATGCAGTGGCACTGTGTGTCACAGTACCCTGTTATTTCTCAGTTCTGTCCTGGAAAAAGAGATCCATAATAACACTGAATTCAGGGCAGCAGCTGAGCTAGAGAGGAAGTCAAAGACAAGCAATACACTGTACTTTTTACTTATGACTTTGCACGGTTACACGTAGAGCTCTGGAGAGCTACATTTACCACCTTACATTTGCATCCATACATCTCCATTTACTGCATGCTAAGTCCATCAACACAGGAAGTTATTTTTCTTATAACAACTTCTTACCACAATGAGTGATATTCACAGTGCTATATCTATCAGGAAGCAGGAAAAGCCTCTGTGGCTATTAGATGCCATCAGCATTCCCAACCCATTCAAACAGATTTCTCTAAGCCCATTAGACTACAGCTGCATAAAACGCATCTTCCTCCCTTGTCCTCATGAAACACTCAGTCCATAATTCTTTCTGTATCTTCACCATATCTTCTGTGTCCACTGACAGTGCACAGGTATCAGGGACCTGTGTGTGGCTCACACAGAAATCTAGGAACTTCTGAAGCAAGTGCAGGACTTTCAGCTTAGCACACAGAGCATGAAGTCAGGCCATTTACAAGGATAGATTAGTCTAAAGTGAGAATAGTGGTATAATCTCACATCACTGAAGTGTGGCTAGAATATGCTACTACTAAGGCTTGAGGTCCCACTTTCCTCTTCCACCCAGCACAGTGTAGAGTGCTGGGATGCTGGTTTTGATATGCACTTTCCTAATTTTTCTCAGAGGACCAGAACTGACATGCTGGAACCCAAGGTTAACACAAGAAACAGATGATTACAGCTGGCTGCAGCACAAGTTCAGGCATTTCAGTGCTGCAGAGCAGGTTAAGTTTTCTGTGTAGCCACAGCTGCTGCACTGGGTAGTGCCCAGCACCAAGTGCCTGCTTATCTGTGCCTTAGGCCTAGAGGCTGCACATACACACAGGACTGACAATCTGTCCCACAGACAGTAAGGAGAGGCACAAGGCTGATTTGCCTCTTCATACAGCTGGGGTAGGTCACCTCAGCTGCTGCATAATGTCCCTACCTAAGTCCCTTAGCTTACAGTTAGAGAGGGAGAAAAAGCACATCTGCACGTCCTGGTGCCTAAGAATGGCTGATTCTGAAACAGCTGAGTTTACATCCTTAACCCTCACTAAAAGCCCACTAGCACAGGTATTCTAGAGCTTAGTTGCATCATAAAGACCACAACTATTTTTTTCTGATATAAATTTAAATCTACTCAAGCCAGTATTGAAGAGAGACTGCACCTACAATCCATGGCTTCTTTATGGTGAGCATTTGCACTGTTACTTTTCATGGGTTATTAGGATGAGTCTTATCAAATAACAGAGGCTGGCTTGTACTGTGCACAGCACATGTATTTTTGAGTGTGCCTGCAATGCCAGAAAGCATGCCAGGGAACACTTTTTTGACCTGATTTCATGTGAAATTTATAAACACATTATGGAGTGCCTTTGTCTCCATCATCTGTAATACCCTGAAATCGCCAATACCACGAAGGCTGGGACAATCTGCCTTAAGGATCAACTGAATCTACATTACTGATATGTTCCCCAGTGCATTATTGTAACCATTCCTTGTATTGTCATTTAATCCTGGTATCTAACATCAAATCCTGCAATTCCAGGATGCTTTCAAGGTGTTTTTAACTGCCTGGAGTCTCTTGATGAGCCACACTACATAAACCTGGATTGTGCAACCACCACAGCAATAGACTGTATGAAAAGCTCCAGCTGCAGGGGTTGCCAAAGAGGCTGTGACCACAGCAGGCTGGAGTAACCCAAAAGGGTGCTTGTGAAATGTTTGTGCTGCTGGCAGGCAGCACATTGCCAGGACAGATCACACATCATGCATTTGCACATCAAATGAAGCTGCACTGGTCTGAGAGCATGGGAAAGGCCTGTCTTGAACGGCATGTGTCCTACTTCCTAAACATGTATATTTTACACTTTACACTTGGTTATTGGCCAGATTGAAAGTACCACAAGTTCCCCAAAGCTTGTCGTTTTGCCTTTGAAGTAGAACTGTTTGGATAATGTTTCCTTTGGCAATTTATCTATGTAACAAAGCAGGAACTTAACTGCATTGGCCTCTCAACAATCCTCCACTAGCTTTTGTCAAAGTCTTCATACCCTTGTGTATATGCACTCTCACAGAATTTCATCACTTTTTGTGACCATTCTTAGCCCCTCTCCTTCTCCCTTATGGTTCTGCATGGTGAGGCTGTTGCTCATATTAACTCACTTAATTCTG